AATTTTCAGGAACTTCAGATGAAATTGCGAGCAAAATCATCTAAAAAATTGGAAGGAAAATATTGATAAGTGGACATGGAAATTCGTGTTATGATCAAAGGAAATTTGGCAACGTCTGAGGGCTCATGCGGTGCTCTTCCTTAGCACGACTCGGACATCCGCGCTGCATGCTAAAAATTGAAGGCGTTTTGGTGATTCTAAGCCGTAAAGGTGTTCCCGAAGCGACGCGCTGCGCTGTCACGACTGCGTGGCGGTGAGATTTTCAGATTTTCTACTTATTCTGATTCGTGAAAATGATGCGAAAATATCCTTTTCTGTATCCTCTTGCCATCATTTTTTTCAGATAATTTCATCTTGCTGCATCATGGTGTCGGCGCGTCACACGCTGCTGCGTGCACCGTTTCAAGGATTAGAGTGACAGAGCGCCTTCCATTTCTTCATAGGCAACACGCGCGTCCATAGAGTACGAATAGTTGTATCAAGGCGTGATTAACACCATTGAATGTGGTGCTTAATTGTTGACCGAGGTATTCTGGTATTAGCATGGAAAGTCCCGCCGCATGTCCCATTGTCCCGTAGTGTCTTATTCTATCCAAAAAGCCGTTCAAAAAATTGGATTAAAAAATAAAAAAATCAGCTCGTTTAATGCTAATATCCTGAAGTTGCTCGTTCAAAGAAATAACAACCTCAATCATTTTTTTTTCTTTTTTTAGGCGCAGTTTCATCATTTGAATGTTTCTCGGGGATTAAGACCATCGTTTACACTATACGTCATAACTCAAAGCGATCAGTGAAGAAAGAAAAATCAATGGAGTTTTCAAGAAATTACATTGACTATTTTTCAAAGACAAAATAAAGTATGACAGGAAGTCTACAGTGGCGTGGCGTGCTTTGCGATATGCCATTTAAACCTATGGTAAAGAATCGATTATTAAGGTGTTCGCTCCGAACAACCTGCTCATCGATCCTCTTTTCTATGGGTTTAATAATGGCATAACAATCGATAAATCGCAAAGCACACCACTCCACTGGAAGTTTACAACGTCGCAGACGGAGATACGTGGTTTCGCACCTCACACTGAAAAAAAAATCTCGGTGTATTTACCAAGAAAAGGGTAAAATTACCAAGAATTCAGGGTTCTATTTGATCCCAGTTTTTTCTTGGTAAAATTACCATTTAGGAAATCGGTAATTTTACCGAGAAATCTCGGTAAAATTATTGAACTTTCTCGGTAATTTTACTGGACCTCGGTAAAAACGCCAATATTTTTTATCGACTGTGGTAGAATTACCGAAATAAAATGGCAAAGTTACCGGGAATTGATTACCAATCAAAGTGGTATTCTTACCTGAAAACAGGGCCGGACTGGCTAAGGCAGCTAGGCAGCGATCGCTGCGTAAGAATTGTCGGCTCAGGGGCCCCGTCGGGGCCCCTGAGCCGACAATTCCTGAATTTTTTCTTCAATGAATGAAATGAATCCATGAAAAAGTGAAAAATCCTTGAATTTATTCTTCAATAAATGAAATGAATCCCTGAAAAACCCTCGTTTTTTCCAGTCCTTGAGGGTTTAACTCATAACACCTTCTCTGAGGCCCCTACGGCCGGAAAAAGGTAACCTCAGGGGCCCCTGAAAAGATGCCAGCAAGGGCCCCTCAGCGATCGAAAAGTATGAGCTTTAAGGGCCCTGGAGCGGCCCTCGAAGCTATATTTTCCCGGCCTCTAAGGGTTTTTTACTTTAAACAGCATGACTCTTTCTCTGAGACCCCTATAGCCCGAAGAAGGTCACTTCTGGGGCCCTTGAAAAGATGTCAGCAGGGGCCCCTGACCCTGGGCTCGAAAAAAAAGTTTCACTTTCAGGGGCCCTTCCGGGTCTCGAAAGCTCTTTTTTCCGGTCTTTGAAGGTTACTCACTTTAAAATGACTTCTTTTTTGAGACGCCCCTACTGGCCCTGCAGCCGGGAGAAAGTAACTTCAGGGGCGGGGCCTCTGAAAAGATACCAGCAGAGGCCCCTGCGTAAAAGTTTGAGGAGGTTATGTGCTTCTTTATCAACAAGAGGAATCGCCAAATTTTTCAAAAAATATCTGAAAAATAGGTGACATTTTCGGAGGCGCTATTTATCAAATTTCAATGCGAAAAGAGCCTAAAACTTCTATTTTCAGGGGTTAAATTTTCAAAATTTTCCGGGGGAGGACCCCCGGACCCCCCTCAATCCCTGGGGGGCGACCCCCCAGACCCCCCATAAGGGCCCAGTTTTTACGTCAGGGGCCCCAAAATCCTAGTGACTGCCTAACTTTATTTACGCCAGTCCGACTCTGCCTGAAAAAAACAGTAAAAATACTGGTTATTAGGTAAGCTTACCAGTCTGTCCTGGTAAAATTACCAATAATTGGTAAAAAAAAAGTGAGACGGTAAAAGTACCAACGGACCTTGGTAAAAACGCCGATAATTTTTTTTCAGTGAGTTAGCGTTGTATCGATCTGGGTCAAAAATAGCGGCAGAATGCGTCTCGGGCATACTAGATTTTCAAAATTTTCTGGGGGCCCTACGAACCCTTATCTAGTGGGGGAGTGAGTGCGTGAGTGCCTCCCACACTTCCTATTCACGACGTTCATTACAGGGGGCGCATGACAAAATTTCGCCTTGGGCGCCGAGTATATTGAGATTGTCCCTTTAGTGTAACACGAAGAAGAGGGGGAATAATGAAAAATTAAATCAAACGCGGAATATTTCGTCCTGTCCTTCGGGCATTGTCAACCGGAAAAAAGAAAAAAAAAATGCAAAAAAAAAGAAAAAGGGGAAAAAAGAAAAACCTGACTCCTAGGCATGAAAGCGAGATTGCTCGTGTACATAATACCAACCGATTAAATATCACAATCTCTCTCGGGCAGCGAAAAGAAATTCGGGTCGACAGTTCACTTCGGAATTCGAATGGACATACGATTGTTGTCTGAATCTGGAAGTGGAAAAAAAATGAAGAATTGTTTACGCGTGCATAAAATGAGCACTTGCGTTATTTATACCCAATTATGTAAGTGCAACCATGAATTATTGAACCCAAGAAGAACTGATAACGGAAAAAATATTGCGGGAGATGCTGTTGATACTAAGTGGGCTCGGGGAAAAACTGAGAGATAAAGATTCCTACAGAATTGCCAGTCCTCCAACAAGGAAAATATGCCACTTGGAGGCTAAATCTTAAGATTTTCAGCACGAAATATCATTGAATTTGGCTCGCGAGCCACACATTGAACGGGATGCATGCTTCTCGTTTTTTTCGCAAAGAAGGAAAAATTTACTATCGTAACACTTCGGGTGAAAACGACAAAAAAAGTCGGTGATTAAAATAGCATTATTAGAGAAGCGTTTGGTTGTCATATTAAGTAATCATATCCACGAATTATTGCTCTATTGGAGGCTGTTTCATTGTACCTCGGCAATTCGTTACTGGACGCATTTTTGCCGAGCGGGACCAGAGACAGGTGGGGAAGAAGGTAAGGTATGTGCTGTTAGTCGAGGGCCGTATAAGCATGAATGGGAATTAGAAAGCGCCAGTGACGTCAGCAGTGATGAAGCAGATGTAACTCATTACGATGACATACTCATACGACGACCGCGCCGATTTGACCCATGAGCCCTCTCCACAATGCTCTTTTGCCATTCCCACGGCTCATGAGTGCTGCATTCTGTTGGCGCTTAGTTCCTCTTGGTAGAATGTAAAATCCCGCTTTTCCTTTTCCCCAAAGGACATCACGCCCACTTTTACATTGTTTCTTATTTAACTTTCAAGCGCACACCCCATCTTTCCCACTTGTCTATACTGCTGTACGTATACGTGCTGAGGAAGAACGCCGTATGAACATTCGAGAGTTGCCAAATTTCCATGGATAAAATGTTTATTTTTGAGGAAAATTATGAATATTTTTCCTTGAAATTTTCAGACTCTTCAGACCAAATGACAAACAAAATTATCTGAGGGATTGGCGGGGAAAAATTCAAAAAATTCCCTGAAAATTAGTGATTTGCCGGAGGAAATTATGCAAAGCTTGAAGGCTCAAACGGCGTTTTTCCTTAGCACGGCAGTATAGTTCCGTTCAGCAGAAATACGCCAAACCATTCGACATTAGGTACTTATTAGAGTACCTGTATAGCGAGAGTATGGACAGATGTGAAACTTCGAAAATCCATCAGGCCTTCACCGAAGCTTCTACGAATAAAGTTAGGGCCCAGAAATGCAGCCAACCTATGAATTTCAATTATTCAGAACGATTTACTAATACTATTGTTACGAACCCTCGTTTATTAAGCACGTGTTTGACTCAGTTTTTGCATAAATTTACTCAATTTTGCGGAAGAACGCTCATTCATGTACATTCTTGGCCATCTTGGTTAGAATTGGAACCTGCAGACTGGCAGTGAAATTTTGTGCGTTAGAAGTTGGTTAGAAGTTGTCTCTGCTTCTAACCAGAGACAAGAGACCCTCCACTGGCCTCCTAGCGACAGGTGGAAGCTTTTACTTTCGGGGTTTCAACAATTCCTTATGGACAATTATGAGCGAGCAACAGTCATCACCATATTTTCGGCTGTTGACTTACCTACATGGTCGATGATGAGCTTCGGATGACGTCATAAGCCAAACAACTTTCCCAAACGTCGGCCATTTTCGGCTTGTTTGCAAAACGAAACTGCCAACACGTTGTTGAACATCAACCATGTAGGTAAGTCAACAGTAGAATGCTGAAGTCCCGAAAGTAAAAGCTTCCACCATAGCCAAGTTACTAGTGGAGGGTCTCTTGTCTCTGGTTAGAAGGGTGGCTGCACTTTTGGGGCCTAAGCCCTCCATGAAGCGATCATCCATACTCTCGCTATACAGGTACTCTAGTACTTATCAACCGGTTGAAGCACGTGGCTCGGGAGACTGCTAACTTGGCAACCTGGTCCCTGGATTAAAAATACTGAAACTGACCATGTGTGAGCTGAGAGGATCTTATCGCGGCTCGGCGACTCGCAGTAATCCGTTGCGCGGAGCTGTAAACTCACGTCACGTCGCGTCGCCCTTCTGTCACGATCTCATCCAAAAGGGCTCGCTCGATTTGACCGGAGTTTATTATTATTTTTTTTTTATTTACATATTTCAATTTTAAGTTCCGGGTATATTTCGTGTTCCTCTTTCATTTTTCGTTGTTCGGTGCTGGCGTCACTTACATGAACAACGAGCTTCCGGAGAGAGTGTGTTTCTTGGAGTTCCATGGGAAGTAAAAACTCCGACCTTGTCGCCAAGTGAGTACTTACTTCAATCATCGCTCTCAGAGTAAGCGCGGCTAACGGCATATCGACGGTGAAACTACCAAACCACGTATCTCGGTTTGCGACGTCGCAGACTTCCTGTCATACTTTATTTTTTAAATGAAAAACTACCTAACGTCTAGTCTTGAAAATTTCTGTGATTTTTCCTCTTCGTGCGGAGAAAATTCTGTGAAAATTTCAAGGAATGATATTGATTTGGTCTGCTTCAAAAAAATAAAATGCGAGCGTAGATTTTTAAACACCGCAAACGAGATACGTGGTTTGATAGTTTCACCGTCGACATATTACGGACCACTGCGTGATTCTTGGCCGCGATAAACCCAAGTAGCACGGATTGCAATAAGTAGCAATATTACATTGTAAAAATATTACAATTCCACCGAGTGTTGTGTATGTTGCCTAGCTCCTATTTGAAGGGGTCCCATTTATTGAAACTTATCGCAATCAAATTGAAATAAGTTGATATTTTTCATTGCATTGCATATTGCCTATCTTGCTGACACATGGAACTCATTTTATTGATTGTTTAAAATCGACTAAATGATGTAAAAATATTGCAAATTGATGGTAAAAAAATCGCAATTTTATTGACTTCAAATTTCAATTTATACTTTCATTATTTTCGTTGCACTAGAAGATATGCTACTTGGGAAACACCCACCTGCGGCGGGCTGATTATTGAAATTGATGGACCAAGCTATAGACAAAGATGACTAAGTGAAAATTAAGCAATCCTATTGGTGGAAGCGAGTGGCTGCAATAGAGGAGGTACCTAAGTAATGAACTGACTATAACGGCAACCCACCCACGAGGCGAGGGACCCTATAGTTAGTCCATCATTTCCCCCTTGGTCTTTGACTATCACCCGTTTCAACCAATAGGATAGCACCATATTCATCCCTATGTCATCTTTTTCTATCGGTTTGTCTATCAATTTCATTGATCAGCCCGCTGAGTGGCGCGGTGCACAGTGGATCGAGTCAATTAGAGAGGTCGGACATGCAATTTTTGACTAAAACCGCAAATTTTTGTGTTTATTTCGTCTCATTTTTAATTTCGACGGGTGCTAGCTGTCGAAAATGTCATGACAAAACTAGTTGAACCACTTTTGGAAGCTCAAAGTTTTGTATGAACGGAGTTAAAAACGTTTGAAGTTTCCAAATTTTGTCCGACCTCTCCTATTGACTCGATCCACCGTGCGGCGCTCCGAGACTGTAAGAGCGCATCAGACCTATTGTAGTTGCGTGGCAGTAAAAATGGTGGCCCACCATTGGTGGGTTGGCTTACTCGTTTTTGACCGACAGATATCAGAAAAAAATGGGCTGACATCAGTAAATTATTCTACTGATATCATTGTAGAAATTAAGAATTCTGCTTATTTCCAAGTAGCACAGTGCGATGAAAATATTGAAATAACTTTGCAATTTTATTATATAAAATTGCAATTCCTTTTTTTTACCATTACATTGCATTATACTTACATCATTTGGTATTAAAGAAGTGCCGATTTTCAACGAGCAATGAAATGGATTTAATGTGGAAAAAAGGTAGCGGCAATTCATAATGCAAAAAAAAAAAAAAATCAACTTATTTCAATATTAATGCAGTAAATGTCAATGAGAGGAGCCCCTTCAATCAGAGAACAGGCAACATACACAACACTCCGATAGAATTGCAAGAAGTTATCTTGTTATTGCAACGTACCACTCGGGTTTCAGTTTACTTCTTTCCTTCATTTCCATGTAAACACACAGAGGTGTAAATGGCATTAGATGCTAAAGCACCGCTTTAAAATAAAATTATCTTACTACTACTACTACTACTACTACTACCTTCTTTCTTTCCTTCTTCTTATCTTTCTCTTTCTTTTGTAAAGAGGTGTTTCTGATCAGGGTGCCTCCTTATACATAATGTGTAGGTAATTTAAAAATTTTCACATTCTGTAAGCTACCTTTGTCTGGTGTGGCGATGAAATTTTGAGATATCGGAATCGGATATCGCAGATTGTGCAACCACTATCAGCCTATATCAGATGAATATCTTTACATTATTATTTCCTCATTGAGTTGCTCAGTGGCGTGGCGTGCTTTGCGATAAATCGATTGCTCTGCCATTTAAACAAAAGAAAAATAATCGATAAACAGGTTGTTCGCAGTGAACACCTTAATAATCGATTATTTATCACAGCTTCAAATGGGGAACAATCGATAGAGCGCAAATCACGCCACGCCACGGTCAAAAACGAGTACGTATAGAGAGTCTACTGATATTACAGAGCTTTAACGTGCATCAGTGGAGTTTCTACTGATATAAGTAAAGATGCAACTAATGTCAGAAGAGACCCAAGCGGAACCTGACTCCAGCGGAATTCTTTACCTACCATCTACTCACTTACTAAATGTGTACGAATTGAATGCGTTCATTCCCAGAATAACAGCTCGCTATCTAAAAGGTTAATAATAATATTAAGGTCAATATTAAGGTGTTTTTATAATATTAAGGTCAAGCTCTTGCTTGCACTTATTTGAGGAGTTTTCGCGCCTATCTTTGAATGCTTCAATAGGAATTAAACTCTATTTTTGAGCTCTCATGAAACTGCCAAAAATAACATTTTGACTATCAGATCCGCACTTTGAATGATTGTCGGGAGAGTGCTAATAATGGACAGCGGAATGAATCATGCCTAAAGCAAGAAGATGAATAAACTAGTTACAAAGGAAGGGCAGAGATCACATTTTCCTTATGCAGCTAACTAGCACTTACATTTACGGTGCTTTTAAAGAAAGAAACTTTATCTAGGTAGGTAATGAAAAAATTGTCCGGAAATCACAATGATTCTCTGCCTGAAAATGCAAATTCGGGCTTGCTTCTGGCTGTTAATAATAAACAGAAAGAAATAACCGCACATTTGAGCGGGAAAACCGCGCCAACCGCATTGTATTTGGCGCAATGCGTGAAGTATCCCTTCAGTCTTGTGGGCACTATGCGATTCATGCCGACTGCACTGATTTTGACGCAATGCGTGAAGTATTCATGCAGTCTTGTAGGCGCTATGAGTTTTACGCCAACCGCTGCGCTGCTGACCGCACTACGTTTGACGCAATGCGTGAAGTATTCGTGGAGTCTTGTAGGCGCTAATATGTGTTTCATGCTGACCGGCGCGAGTCTTCGTCATTATTGCTCTCTGCGCCGCGCCGCTCCAGGCCAGATTGCGTGTTTGGTTTCTCTCTCAACTAGACCAATAGAAGGCTCTGTCTCTTGTATCACCGAGAGACGAACAAATTAGAAATTACCATACTTTAACTCTCATGAGATGAGAGATTTCGTCTCCTTTCTCGTTTGTAATTTTTTTCTAAATCCGATTTTTTTTACCTATATTTGAAAAAATTGCAACATTTGTTGTAAAAAAATTTGCAGCAAATGCTGCAAAAATTTTCTTCTTATTCCATTTGGAAATCCGCGGACCCCAGAGTATTCCATTTAACATCGGTGTAGCCTTCCTTGCTAAGGTGCATGTTTCTTTCCTTGGTAGCTTGATCCGTTCTTCCACCCTGAGTCAACCGCACTCCCAAGATACTTTCTTCTACCCCCCCCCCCCCCNGGTATTTCGATTTCAATATTTAATGGTAGGTAGGTACATATTCTTGAGACGATCTTTCATATTGGAAAACACAGAGAACAGAAAAATCATTTTAAAAAAACCAAAAAGAGGGACATTGGTTATAAAAGACCCCAAGTTTGGGGCAAAAACCCGAAATCAAATTTCAAAAAGATGTTGGCTGCATCTCCACCCTAGTAGCAGTGGCTGTTGAGAAAAGTTGTAAGACACCCGTAAATTTTAAGCGAACTTAAAATTTATTTCAAAACTACTTGAAAATAACGAGAAAAAAAAATATATTGAAATATTCGTATATTTTGAGGCATTTTTCCCATAAAATTGAAGAAAGATTTCAAGTAATTTTTTCACGTAAATTTTAAGTAAAAACTTTTTTTTTTTTTTTTTATAAACTTCCTGCGGGCAAAAACCATTGAGTACAAAACGAGGGGGAAAAAGTGGTGAACAGAAAAGTATAAAAGGAAAAGTTGCAGTCCATAAAAAATGAGGATATTATTGATTTTTACCTACCTACGTAAATTTTACGTTTTCTTTTAATTAAAATAGGTAATACTATTTTTTTATTTGAAAGAATTCCCCAAAAAGGTTTCCTAAAACGAGTATTTTTACTTAAAATTTACCAGTTATTTACATTTTTTTAAAACTTTTTACTTATAGAATTTTTTTAAGAGCCATTCCTACTAGGCGATTTTGGACGTGTTGCCGTCATGCGCCTCTATGCCTCCAAAAAAGTCAGTGGGTATAGGTAAAGTATTTCATCGATATTTCTGGGACAAATTTTTCAAGTTACTTAATTTGATGGCACGAGAACTCATGCAGTTCCTAGTAATCGACCCAGAAATTCCAAGACAGCAAAATAATGTGGTGAACGGGGCACAGAGGTGAATAAATATAATGCTGAATCGCATAAACGCACGGACTTAACATGCGACAGAATGACACCAATTGCTAAAAGTAGATAATTTTCTGCAGTCAATCAGCAAAAAGTAATCTCTCGACTTACAGACCACGTCCAACTGCATTTATCTGACGCACCCATGCGCATTCACCTACCGATTTCATTCCGATTTCCTCGAGTGCCGGTTGAACCGAGTTTTGGGACAGTGCGCCTTGATTGTCGGGCCACCGAAACACGTTGTAGTACCTAAGAAGGAGAGGTACTCAAAGGGATTTGATCATCCTCTCTCGACTCTGAGTGTCTTAGTTTCTCTGTGCATCTTCCTTTGTTTATTACCCTATTATCATTTTATCTGTTGTGAGCAGTTGTAAGTTAAATTATTATCTCTTTTTCTCTCAAATTACCACCTTATCGTCTTGTATTTTATTTTAAAGTGTTCGATTTCTAGAAGAGATTGTTGCTTCGTTACTGAACACGTACATATCAAGTAAATCTTGTTTATTCCGAGCACGCCGGCCTATTACATAATTTTCAATCAGCATGGTGCATGTGTTTTTACTTATTCTGGATATAGATGTGGTGGAGTGAGGAGTGTTATTGAGGTTTCACTTTCAATGGTATTAAATTTTTCGTATTCCACACGGTCTATTTCGCCGGAAACCTTTAGGTTCTAAATTTTAATGTTTGCCTTTATCATGACCAAAAGATAAACGGTTCAAGTATGAACCTATCATCTTGATCAAATCTTGTCATTTCGTAGAACTCATCTAAGTACTTGAAGAGCTTTGTGACTCTTTAAGTTATGTTACATAACTAGCTATCTTGTTGACCTCTCTGTAAGCTTTATTTTGTGGTCTGTCAGTCTCTCAGGGGATGCTTTTTCTGATTTTAGAATGGACACAATCACGATGGCTGACGATCTAATTTGCGGTGGGACTCCATACATTCCAGATGATGGCATGACTGGACAGCAGTTGATGGCTGATGGTGCTGGATTAACTTACAAGTAAGCGCATTTCTGAATGTCTTTGGCTTATGTTGGCGTTATGTAAGAAATCCAGAATTATTCCTTTTTTTTATGTCAAAATCTTCTGATGCTACAGGATGGTCCATCCCATAGTGCATCTACAAACATGCCGCCGATGAAATGATTGTGTTTGATCATTATAGATTATTAACTTAGTCATGCCCACATTTTACTCATTGAATGCAATTGAAGTAGACTCAAGCCCTCTCTATCCTTTGCTCCAATTAAGTTTACAATGCACTATGTAATTGATTTCTTGTCCTAATATGAGAGGCTTACTTACTTAAGGTAATTCGTCAAGCTCCAGTGTTGTGATCAAACTGGGATGCAACATATTGCATTGATTAGGTAAAAAGTCTCAGCAGATTTTGAAGTTTGAGCATAAGGAAGAAAAATAGCCCCTGCGCCTAAGTCTAAAGAATCAATTGAAATCCAAACGTTGACCAAATTTAGAGAAATGACACCAGAATAGTGTTAGGAAAAAAACCTTGCATTCGATACAAAAATTGATAGCTGTATTGAATGTGAGGTTCTTTTCCTAATACTATTCTGCCTTCATTTCTCTGAATTTAGCCGTTTTTGGGTTTAGAATGATTCTTTCGACTCATACGCAGGGGCCATCGTTCTTTGTTTCACAAAAAATTCAAAATCTACTGAGATTTTTGACCTAATCAGTGTGTTATATTGCACGTCAGTTTGACCCTGTCGCTTGAGCTCGACGAATCACCTTAATGACGTTTAGACAGATACAGATCATTTTGCCTGTGTCATGGAATCAAGCACAAATGCTTGATACTTTTAAACTGGGCGTAATTAAGAAATCCTACCGGAAGCTAAGTTTCTGTACATAAGCGGTTCTTAAAAGTGGTGATCAAGATCATCTTTTTTGGTTTACTTTAGTTAATTATATAATGGTGAAACTTTCAAACCCTGCATCTCGTTTTCAGTGTTTAAAAATCATTGCTCTTATTTTATTTTTCTAAAAGAGAACTAATCAGTATCATTCCTTCAAGTGTTATTAGAACTTGTCTAGCGCCGACAAGTAAAATCAGGTAAATGTCAAAAATTAGCAGTAATCGATCGGAGTTTAAAATTGGAGTTAGTTATCGATTCAAAAAGTAAAGTGTGACCGGAAGTCCGCAGCATTGCAAAGTGAAATACATGGTTTGATAGTTTCACTTCACTGCCGATAAGCTTTTCAGTGATGTATGGAATGCAATTTGTACAAATACAGTACTAGAAAATACAGTATACACTACCAAGGAAATGGTGTTTAAATTTCTTCTCATACAAAGCTTTCTTTAAGAGGCAAATCAGTCGCACAATATGAGGATAAATTTTCCATAGTTGAAGTAAAGTAGTCATTAATTAAAATAGAATAAATTTACTGAAGTACTCGCTTTTTTTGACAAAACAATTTCGTTCGGAAAAAAACTAATCTCTATCCTGTATACTGTGCTTTTTAAGGCGTACCACTTAAGGCCCTACACCATCTCCACCACGATATATATTTTTTAAGTCTATGTCTTACTTGTTATAAATTGTAGAAACTTAGGCATCCCATTATCTTTTGTTTACTCTAAATTTTTTATTTTCTCAACAACTTTTGACCGGCAAGCAGACTGACAATAAATTTTCTCCCCCCAGTAATACTACATTGAACTTTCGTCCAAGCTGACTTCTAAGTTAGTGATGTTGACCTGGAATCTTTTCTTGATGTTAATTATTAATGTAACCCGTGTTATTTCTTTCAGTGATTTCATCCTGTTGCCAGGATTCATCGACTTCACAGCTAATGATGTTGTAAGTTTTCTTTATTAATTAATTAATGTATTCATAAAATCCGCTTAATTACACCTGAAGTGGCTAACTTCCCCCATATCCTTGAAGTTTGTAGGGAAACTTTGTGGAAAATTAATGAAACCAAATTTTCTAAAGTAAAGATGGGTATATATGAGAAAAAGATAGATTCATCGGAGGCTCCTTGGCTTGTACGGGCACTACCTCTGGTAACCATTTTGATGGTACTCTGCACCTCTTCCAATGGATTAAGTAAAATACAAGTTATCTGAACTAGATGATACTTTAAACTAACTTTTCCACAGCATTGATTCTTATAATGTTAAAATATTTTACTCTCTATCAGTGTTCGAAACTCACGCCAGCGCGCTAAATGCGCTTAAGAAATCGGTCATGGCCCCTAAAAAATTGCCCCCTCCTCCCCCGAGTCCTCAAAAAAAGAAAATCCTAATTTTTCTGTTAGGTGGTTTTTTTTTATTTCTCGACACACAGCAGTGGATTCTAATTTTCCACTAAATGCGCCATGATATATAGGCAAGAAGTAAATTTTTCCCCTTAAATATCTTCAATGGCCCCTAAAAATTGACCTTGATGGGCCACATGGCACCCTAAACTCAAAGGTGAGTTTTTAACACTGCTCTCTATGTGTGTTAAGTTCTTTTATTCATGTAATTTTTAAGCACAATACATGCGTAATACACATATGTAAATACAAACGATTTTCATCCTTTGTTTTCTCTCTTTACCAGGATTTAACATCAGCTCTCACAAAAAAAATCACTCTTCAAGCTCCATTAGTTTCTGCGCCAATGGACACTGTTACAGAATCAGAAATGGCTATTGCTATGGCGGTGAGTCATAATTTTTTCTAGTTTTTCTAATGTGAAGATACTCTTTTATATACAGCAAAAATAAATTTAATTTTAAAGTGAAGCTTTTCAAAATATTTTTATCTAATTAATCTCTGTTGAAAGTGAATTTAAGTTCACGAAAGCTCTTTATATTTTAGATTAGCTTAGCCACCATTAAATATTTATGTCGATCAATCAATGCAAATATTCAGCACAGCAAAGTTCATCCTACCTACTAATTATTCTCAACTCATCACAATTTACACCATGTTTTCAATTCATTTTCAGAATGAATGCAAAAATTAGTAGTACATTCCTCCTTTCATTTAACCTAATATAGAGTCCACACCAAATAACTTTACACGCTTCTAGAGTATGGCAAGAGATCAGCTACCTACAGTTTGTACAAGAATCAAGTTGGCGAATCTCTTTTCATATTCCAAAAGTGCGTAACGTAATCTGGTGTGGACTTGAGCTGAGAAAACATCTTTCTAAGTTGCCAAAAATCCAAATTTATCTCAAACAGAAAAATATTGCGTCAACAAATTTTATGTCATCACATGAAGAATTGACGGCCCTTCCTACTTCCTTATACTTGAGTTAGTTCTCTGTTTCTATTTATAACGAGAGGTCATGCATCCTAATTGTACTTTTTAAAATGAACAATGCTAGCTGATTACTAGTCACCTTATTATCAGTGTATCTAGCTTTTCTAATCTGAGCAACAAATTTTTTCAGCTCTGTGGAGGAATAGGTATAATTCATCATAATTGTACGCCTGAATATCAAGCAAACGAAGTGCTAAAAGTCAAGAAGTACAAACATGGATTCATAAGAGATCCCATTGTTTTAGCTCCACATAACACTGTAAGTCCTACAGCTTTTATTTTTCAAGAAACTGATTCCTCTATCCTATTAGGAGTGTGTTTTTTTCCTTTACTTTTATCTTAATTTTACTTATGTACTATATACAAGTATTAGGAAATGTTAGAAGTATGTCAAGTTGTCTTTAACAATCAGTACCATCTTTTAGCAACACTCCAGCTGGTAAACAATTTTATTTATTTCATAAAAAAATGCCTCATGGTAGTTTCGAACTTGAGGCACTTATCCTGATAAAGTATCTCCTGAAACGCCGAGATAGGGTCGAAGTTTTGCTTAGAAATGCTGAATTGCAAAGTTGCCATTTTTAAAGTGAAAACCTTTAAAAATTTATAACTCCAGTGGCTTTCAATTCGTTTCAATTAACATGTTTTTTAAAATTTTGCTGTTGAGAGATTTTTGATGGTGTATAGGTATTCGGGTTTAATTAGCACTGCAGCCTGATTGTTGATATTTTGTTTTTGTTGGGTAGACATAGTTGACTTAGGTTGAAAGGCGGAGTGTGATTGGTTGGCGATGTCTTATCGCTGCTTTGTCAAGCCTATGTCGGGTGGAACTCACGACAAGCTAAAGGCACCTCTTAAGTTTCCGATAGATTCCACCTGACAAAGGCACGATAAAGCAGCAGTAAGACATAGCTGACCAAACACGCTCTGCCTTTTAACCTATGTCATTTATGTCTACCTGACGAACACAAAACTTCAACAATCAGGCTGCTGGACAGCATTGACCTTGGCACTGACAATTTTTGGTTCACAAAATAATTTGCATACACTTTTCCACAATTTTCAAGTCAACTGGACCTGAAAAAAAAACTAATCCAAATGTAAACTCAATTTTCTGCCTTTTTAACAAGCACAAGATCCTCAAGGGGGAATGGTATCCATTGCAGAAGTGTTAAACTATGTACCTCCGTTGCGGTTTTCCAAAATGTTCGCTCCTATTTTATGATTGGGGGAAAAAAAACCACGGAATTTGTTAAGAAATTATGTTGACTAGTTTTCCAAGAAAAATATTAAGTATGGTAGGAAGTCTGCTACGTTGCCAACAGAAGTCCATGGTTTTGTACTTTGGCCTTAGATATCCAAGATATGAGCAATATTCCTCTGACGTGCTTTTTATGCCTGCTTTCCAATTCTCTATTTTATTGTTATTTCTCTGTTTTCAGGTCGGTGATGTGTTTGAGTGCAAGAATGAACATGGTTTTTGTGGTTTTCCCATTACTGAAAGTGGAAAATTAGGAGGTAAATTAGTTGGAATTGTCACCTCGAGAGATGTGGACTTTTTAGATATTGACAAGCATCGAGATGTCAAATTAGCATCAGTAAGTTGCAATTTTATTGTTAATTGTAGGAATGGTTGATTTTTTATCCAAACCGCAGAATCAGAAGGAAAGAAAGAAAAAATTTATTGCATAAAGGAATGATAAGTCAGGAAAAAGTCAGTATAGTGAGACTTCAACGAGATAAGCTTTTAGTCAAAGAGTATTTGAAGATAGTTCAGGAGTCAAAATATTCAAAGTTTTTGAGACTGTTAGTCTTAAGGCACAGTCATCATTTGAAATTGCTATCTTTCAGAAAAATTTTAAAATTTAATTGGTAGTCCTTTATTTTTTACCACTAGACTGGTACGAAAGCTGCATTTTAATCAGTCAGTGCTTCAATGAAAATGACAGATCTTTGACAAAATTGATGATCATATAGAAAATTCAGCTGCATCAATAAAACACTGTTTTCATAACTGCAGTCAAAAACAGTTTTCAATGTTAATCGATAATTTTTCTAAAGCTCCCATGAATTTTTTTTTTATTTTTTTTATATTTTTTATATATATATATAGATTTGAAACAAAAACTTTTTTTGAAGTTTGAAGAAGATATTAATAATTTACTGTAAAAGTCTTAGTCCATATGTCTTTGTCAATGGCTGAATGCGGAATCTGTATGTCTTGTTATACTCGGATGCTATTGTTCCATCATTACGTATGTACTTTTTAAATTTGAAACAAATTTTTGTACTTTCATAAAAATATCTATGATTTTCCCCTGCAATTTGAAAAATATGCCATGAAAATTTTAAGTAGTGAAGCTGTTTTATTTAACTGTGAAATAATAAAATCGAAAGAGATTTTTAAATATTGCACTCCAGATGTACATGGTTTCCAAGTTCAGCCCATTGATATTTTACTCTAGAGTCCATGCCAAATTAGTTATGCTCTTTCAGAGTGCAACAGAGGATCCACCATCTTGATTCTTGTATTTACCTCCTGTGCTAAATCGGAGACGGCTGATCTTCTGTTGCTTTCTAAAAAGGGTAAACTAATTTGGAATATTATGTGGCACCTGGCTTTGTTTGGAGATTTTTTTTAATCCATGATACTTTTTCATAGGTAATGACGCCATTAGACAAACTAACAACAGCTCCATCAGATGCAACATTAGAACAAGCCAACAGAATTCTAGAAAAGTCTAAAAAAGGCAAGCTTCCTCTCGTGAATGATGCTGGTGAATTGATCTCTCTCATAGCTCGCACTGATTTGAAGAAGTCTCGAAACTATCCGTTTGCGTCGAAAGATGAAAATAAACAATTAATTGTCGGTGCAGCTATAGGCACCCGAGATACAGACAAATCTAGGATTCAGTTGTTATTTGAAGCAGGTGTTGATGTAATAGTAATTGATTCGTCTCAAGGTAACTCTGTGTATCAGATAGACATGATCCGTTACATCAAGAAAGAGTTTCCAAAACTTCAGGTCATTGGAGGCAACGTAGTGACAGCGGGTCAAGCTAAAAACCTGATCGATGCTGGGGCTGATGGTTTACGAGTTGGCATGGGGTGTGGTTCTATTTGCATTACGCAAGAGGTCATGGCTGTAGGAAGACCGCAAGGAACGGCTGTTTATAGAGTAGCTGAGTATGCACGACGATTTGGCGTACCTGTCATCGCTGATGGTGGTATCCAGAACATCGGACACATCATGAAAGCTTTAGCCCTGGGTGCATCTACTGCTATGATGGGTTCTCTTTTAGCTGGAACTTCTGAGGCTCCTGGCGAGTATTTCTTCTCAGATGGAATTCGTCTGAAGAAATACCGAGGTATGGGAAGTTTGGAGGCCATGAACCGTAAGGATGCAAAAGGTGCAGCCATGGACCGCTACTTCCACAATGAAATGGATAAACTGAAAGTGGCACAAGGAGTGAGTGGTGCTATAGCTGATAAAGGCTCTGTTCTTAGGTTCTTGCCTTACTTGCAGTGTGGTCTGCGCCACAGTTGCCAAGACATTGGATCACGTAGTTTGTCAAGTCTTCGAGCAATGATGTATTCCGGTGAGCTCAAGTTTGAAAGAAGAACGGTGTCTGCCCAAAGTGAAGGAAATGTTCATAGCTTGGTTTCATATGAAAAACGGTTATTCTAGGACTCGGCAAGCACTTCTTCCCTCAGGAAGAAGTGAACTGCTAATGAAGGGAGGATCAAGATCTCTACCCTGAAGGATTGAAAAACTAACAACCAACTCTCACTTTAGTCTAAAGATAACTCTTTTACGTAAGAAAACTTTAGAGAACTCCACATTTTTTTATATTTAATTGCATAATTATGTCCTAATTAAGAATCAGTTTGTCTCGGTGTGTCTACGATGTGAGCAGCAACGTTCTCCCCCTCATGAAAAAAACTGTGTTATGCAGTGCTCCTGATTTTTAGTTAGTGAGAGTTTAACAATTTTCCTATTGACAAGTTAAGTTCTGTAGCTCCAAGCACAATGAAATTGAAATTCTCATTGCATTTTTGGGTTGACTTTTTCTTCTTTTTACAGTAGAAATTGGTGCATCTTCATCCTTACTCTGAAAGTCAACCAAAAAAATTTAGCGAGAACTTGAATAACATTTTTATAAAATCCTTCTGTCTTGTAAAGTCACCAAACGTTTTTTACAAAGATAGAACGTCACGGAGAGGGAAGTCTCATTAAACTGTTCGCATGATAGTTTTCCCAGTATCATTGACTATAAGTGAGGGTTAAGTTCCTAGTTTCACCAACCCTAGCAGTAAAATTAAATCACTGTACAATTCAGCTGGACATCCTCAACTTTCATTCAGCTGACATATTCAGCATTCATTTTTTGCATCTTTTTTTATTCAGCAAGTTGAAAACAAACGAAAAAAGAAATTTTGTTGATACAATTTGATTAACGAAAGTTGATAGTCTCGGGAATTGCTGAATATAGCATAGTCGTCCCATCACAAAAGGCTTTGAACATTCAGAATCCGTGTACCACTCCCACCGCTGGTACCAGGATCGTTTTTCCAGGCTTAAGACCTCAGAAAAGTGCTGTGCATAATAAAGCTTTTGCATATTACTGTGTCAAGCTTAAAAACAATTTTCTGCTTTCATAGCATATTTTCAGGCTGTTCTTTCAGTTATCCATCCGTACTTTAGGTTGCTTTTTAAGTTTTTAAGAAGCTTTTACATCATCAACGTGACATCCTCTTGCCCTAAAAAGTTTAAAGGCTAAGTTGCTATAAAGATTGAAGTAACTAGGAACAAATTTTACTAGTTCACAGAAATGTGTACTTATCTTTTGGCCACATTTCTTGCTGCAAACTAAGGTTTGATACAAATAGCCTCAGTGAGGAGGTGTCTTGAATTCGATGTCACTTACTTGTAGTACTTACTTTATTCTAATTTTTATTTTTAAATGCCCAGCTCCACATCCTAGTTCAATGGAAATAATAAGCAAATACATAATGATGACCAAAGTGCAAAACTACGTATCTTTATTGCTATTTTTCATCATTTCCGCTCCCTTTTTTTCCCTTTTCTTTTCTTTTTTTTACTTAAAACAACCCAACTTATGGATTGAAACTTTTATTATTATTATTATTATTATTATTATCGAATATTCTGCCAACAGAAGAGGAAAACTACAGAAGTTTTCAAGAAAGTACGGTGACTGGTTTTACAAAGTAATGTTAAATTGAGAGGAAATCTCCAACTGTTGCAAACAGAAATACATGATTTAGTACTTTGGCCATCGATATTATGCATTTCTTTTTTGAAGTTTTCACTGAACACAAGGTTTAATTTCTCGAAATTTATTTCATGAAGATGTATATATGTGGCTCTTTCTCTCTATTATCTGTTCGGTTTACTGCCAAGTAATGATTTTCTTCAGTAAAACGAGCTGGAGCTGCCTGTGTAAACTTTTTATATGAATGTTTTTTGTCATTAAATTTAATCATCGACCTTAGCCCTAGTCAAAGGTCAGCGTACCTTTCCTATGAAGGGAGAAAATCAAACAACTTCTCTTATTAATGTCAGCGGTATCTCCACCAAAGAGTTGTACTTCTATTTCTGGTGCCTATGGATATTTGTACAGCTAAAGTTTAATTTTCAATTCAGTGTTTTTTCTTTTTTTTTGTTCATTTTTTTTACATAAAAACTCTTTTAACGAGGAAAAATAATATTAAATTTTTCCACCATTCCGGTAAATGTACATTATGTTACACCCTTTTTAACTTCTTTTATTTAGCATGAATGTTGTTGTGCTAAAATATCTGAAAGTCAAACTTTCGATAATTTTGTTTAATCATGGAAAAAAAATTGAAACTCAATCCGGTTTGTCTCTTCAATGAAGCAAGTTTATCCCTCTTTGATGTGAAAAAATAATTAATGATCCCTGTGTGTACACGTTCTATTGATCTAATCGTTTTTCTTTCAATGATAATATTTAGTGCTTGGAGGTCTTTCTGAAAAGCATTTCACCAACAATCGATTTTCTCTCGCTCTCTGCTCCAACAAAAGGAACTAAAATTTGTCTTCCACTTTTGTCTGTAAAAAAAAAGTTGAATAAAAGTCTTTGAAAATCAGTCAAGGTTAATTTTCTCCTTTCCTCTTTCAGTGAACTGAGATGACAAGAAATTTTAGAAATCATTTTTGCGAAAATTCTTACATAAACTTTATTGAATCTTTTGGGATCCATCTTAGGGTCAAAATTCTTCTAAAAACATGTATACCTAACTAAAATTTGAAATGTTTAGCCTTCTACCTAACCCAACCCAAAGTTGATGTCAAAGTAATCAGCAGTTCCTTTATCAACCGCATTCAGAATTCGTCTCCTTCCGGTCAAAGTATCACAAGCACCATGCAGTGTTTAAAAAATTGCGCTGCCATTTCATTTTTATACAAAGAATTTGTTGGTTGAATCTGTTTGAAAATTTCACTGTATTTTCTTTGTGCTGCGGATAAAATACAGTGACATTTTTGGACAGCTTCGTTGAACAATTTCTCTGTAAAAAAATAAAATGGCAGCAGACATTTTTAAACGTTGCATGGCGCTTGTGATACTTGGGCCGGAAGGTGACGAATTGATGTAAGTCAAGGACCCTGCATGGAAAACCAAAGGATTTGGCTTCCGCTAAATTTTGTCAGTACTTGATATTATGTTTTTGGCAACCTCCTGAGCAAGAAAAGTTTTTAGAATGGAAAATTCTACTTAAAAATGTCATGAAAAGCAGGGTGAAAAAGTCAATTCCTCATCATCCTTACTTTCCATGGCATGTACTTTCGTATGGCAAGACCTCTTGTTCCTCCAAAAAATGGTTCTCTCTGTCTACATGTAACATTACCGTTGCCAAAACTGAGAAAGAAAAGTAAAAAAAAGAGAGTAATTTCTTAGGTTGAAGCACCAAGAAGGATACCTATCATGTCCCATGTAGAAAAATGTGCCAGATGAAAAAAAGCCTCATTTTGACGTGAGGTAAACTTGAGCTCTTAGGGTTAGGTAGTTTGTCCCTGAGACACCCTCTTAAGGATACAGAAGTTTGAGACGAATATGATGTAAAACAATTTTATTTAAAAAGCAAGGATTTTTTTAAAAACGGTTTCAATTGTGAATGAATAAACTTACATAATAATTTTTTATTTTACACAAGGTGGGTAAGTATTTTCCTAATTTCATTTAGGCGGCAAATCTGGCGCAACTAAATCATAGAGTTTTTCACCAAGATGTGCGAGTTCTTTCCCAGCTTCAGTGTGTTTCAGATAATACTGAGGAATGACTTCTTCTCCATAATAACTGCCTACAAGAGCTGCAGCCATGGATGCGATTGTGTCTGTATCACCACCTAATGATATAGCATATTCGATTGTTCGCCTCAGTGCATTGTTGGTCTGAAATGGGTTGAAAGAATTATTCAAAATGTATGGACTTACAAACAACATATATTTACATTCAGATGAAGAAATTTCAACAAAAGTTAGGAGTGATTTGAATTTTGAAGAAAAGAGAGTCTTCATGTTGTGTCAGTTGTGCTATCTTACAGAAAAAGTTGACTAGTGTGGGGAAATAACTTACCTGTATATGTGGAATTTTCTGAGTGGATCGCAAGAAACAGAACAAGGCTGTTGGAACCGAATTCAAGGCATCTACGTAGTGCCCAAGACTACTGACTACCTCTTCATCTGAGACATTTTTCAACCGACATTCTTCCAACAATTTTTCGATGATATTGATCCTGTTCCGGTAATACCAATTTTTTCCAAGATCAAACCCATGACTGAAAATAACAAAAAAGAAAATGAGAGGTACATTCATCTTGCCAAATAGTAATTTTTTATTCAGTTTTACTGATCTAGGACTTCTTGTAAACAATGATCAAAACAAACCACAAGCCCCCAAAGTTAATACTAAGAAAAAGTCAAAAGTTTGGAAGTCCAGAGAGTGTCCCTTCTATTGACATGGCCTTATTATTCTATAGTTGTTTTTTTTAACACTAATGGGGGTCTAAGGTTTTTTTTTACTTTTACATTTTTTGTTTCCTTGTTCAGATGGGGGTTGAAATCACCCTGAAACGTCCCAGGCATTCTGTTTTGTTTATGGCCTCCGTTTCCCATTTTCTTGTGTTTTGTTTCGTAAGATAGTCAAAATATATGGTGTATCTACATATATGATATTTTAGTCAAGGCTGGTAAAACAGCCATAGGTACAACTCATAACAAATATTTGCAGAGGAATTATTGATTTGAAACAACACTTCAGACACTACCCCCAATGGATATCATGCACTGTCTCGACTGGCAACTAACATTACTAACTTCAGTTACGTCTTTAGACTTATTTCAGATTGTTTTATAATAAATTATTTTCTTGGACACATTATTATTTGGAGGGATTATTTTTTTTTTGAAGGGGTGGGGAAGAGGAGAATATCTTCACATTTTAAGATCTAGCATTTCCAGGATCAGACTACTTATGAAATTGCTCTTATAACCACTACATCTGCCACAAAAATTGTTGTAAAAACTGCCAAACTCACATCATTTTTAGCGCATTACAGACGTTTTAAAAGAAATAAAAGATTGTTGCCTGCTCAAAGATATATTCTATTTGCTCAATATCACGAATAAATAAGATTAAATCAAAAATAAAAACTGACTCATCGTAAATTGTCTCCTCAATGGCTTCAATTTTTTCCCGTAGGTTCTTCAAGAAAATTTTTTCATCTAGCTTCTCATCTGGATCCAATGATAAAGCTTGATGGATAGCCATGCTCTGAAAAAAAACTTGAACTTTAGACTAGATATAATAAAAAAAATTGCACACTAAAAGAAAGACAGAATTCACATCAAACTTTGATCTGTTTTGAATCGACTGAGTTCTTTCCATTTTTCCCTGCCACCTGCGCCCTTAATATCTAGCTAACAACAGTGCTATGCTTCATGTAGCCGCAAGCATTGTCTTACTCTAAGTACATCTGGCACTGAGCTCATTCATGGGAGGTTAAATGATCCGCAACAGAGCATGATTAACATTATGATTACCTGAAATAGAGCTCCACTTATAGCCAAAGGATTAGTGTGAGTGAGTTTTGTGACACTGGTCACAGTTTTGACGAGTAGATCATGGCTATTGTGACAAAAAAGAGCGATTGGGGCTACTCGCATGGCACCACCATTCCCGTAAGACCCATCTCCGTTGTACTGTTCTTTGGCAGGGTTCCAAAGGTCATCAAGAGAGGTCCGCCATTTAGTAAAGACCTGAACTACACCCTCTCCATATCCTCGATTTGGCTCCTTAAAATACACATCTGTGAACCTGAAGAGAAGAAAAATATTTACTTGCAGGTTGTTACTACTCTTAAGGCTAGATTTTTCATCGTCAACTGAACTGTGCGACTTTTTTAGCCAATTTTTTTTTTTTTTAAATGCTTCAGAAGACTTTGAAGTTCAAGGAGCAACTATGAATGCAATCCATAATTAATACACTCTAATTCAAACGACATCGTGATGTAATTATAATATGGAAAAGGAACCATGGCCTTGTAGAAAATGTTAAGACCTCTTTATTAGTTGCTTGAGCTTTTCTAGAGTTTTTTGTTGTCAAGGCATGTAGTTGAAAGTAAAATAAAATACCATAACCGATATTATCACAATAAAATTCTAAACCTGAGGTCAAAATAAAATTTTAGGAGCAATAAGCAGCAGTATTCTGCCTTTCCCCTAAATTTTGGGAGCCAACTTGGCACTGTAAAGCCCACTTTTATAGGAGTGAAATTACTTTCCGTGTCAGGTAAGCTGTTGTGCTCCGTCTCACTGGCTCGTTCTCATGCTGCGCTGCCACGCTGAAACATAGCATTGAGAACGCTACATCTGCTTCATGATAGCGAGTTTAAATAAAATCGGCAGGGTGCATTGACTATGAGGCATATAGCCTCCTGGGGACGCAGAACACTGAAAAGCTGAATTGGATAATATAGCCTGACATTTGAAGGCTGATCACAAATATTATTATTTCCTTTTGATAAGTAGCCTAGATGAAAAACCAACTTCTGATTTATTTGAAAGAATAATATCTCCTCACCTTTGAGCAATATCATTTTCATCAACTTTTTGGTTTTCCACTAGAGATTCTGCTATACTCCTCGTCATTGCAGTATCATCTGAGTAACGCAGAGGTGCGGCTGAAATGCAAGAATAAAATTTATATATTTATAGGGTTATAGTAAAACAACAAATGAGAGGCTTGGAGTACAGGGTCCATAAGTGCAGTTTTTGAAAAAATTGAGATAGGCATTAATGATTTCAAGTAAAACTAGTCATAATGGACATCAACGGTGAGACTACCAGATCGTATATCTCAGTTCGTGATGTTGTAGACTTCCTGTCATGCTTTGTTGTTAAAATGAAAAATAACTCAATGTCAATTCCAGAAAACTTCCATGTTTTTTCCTCTCTACGCTGAGAAAACTCTGTGAAAGTTTCAAGAACTGATGCTGATTTTTTCTCCTTCAAAAAAATAAAATGGAGCGGAGATTTATAAACACTGCTAACAAGATAGTGGTCTGGTAGTTTCAGCGTCAATATGCTGTGAAACATTTGCTCCCAAATTCCAATTTTTAAGCGTCAAAAAGTCAGTTTGAACTGTCCACTTAAAGGATCCATGCATTTTTGAAACTTCAAACTTGCATTTCTCAAAAAAGTAAAAACTGCTCTTATACGCCTTGTCCTCCAAACCCCTCAAATGTCCACTTAAGTGCAGCTCTTTGGCTTTGATTTGTTTCTAAACTAAGCTATCTCAAAATTTCAATTTAACCAGTAAACGAGAGGCATACTGAGTTCATTGAAAGGAATCTCAACAGCTATGCATCTAACTGGTCTACTTAAGATAAAATGGACGCTGGACTGTCTATCCTGTATTCTTCAACGGTAGCGTACCTGGTTACGGCTCAAAGTCAGCCTTCACCTTTAGTTACGCTCGGAGCTCAACCACACTTATTCCTCTCAGGAGAGATTATAGATTACGTACCTATGAGTAAATAATTATCATCTCCAAAAAGAATAGGGATTTGGACAATCAAATCTATCAAAAAGAAAAATGAACATGGATCTGCTCATTGAGAGAACGAGTTTCTAAATTTTTAATAGAAACGGCAAGTATGAATGAAAATTAATTTTCTACTTGCCACCTTTTCTCCTACCAGAATTTTAGTCAGATGTGAGAATCTGACTCCCCTATCAGTGTGACACTCTGTGCAGACTTCTTGCTAAGTGACTAGTACTTAGTGGTATGATCAAAATAGCAGTCGAGAGTACAATCAAAATTGCGTCTCCATCAAGTGAACTTGAAATTTTCAACATACCTATAATGGAAAGGTTAATATCAATGGATTAATTTCAGTATAAAGAACTTACGTTTTGCATCAGGTTGATCAAGAGCGTTTAAAAAGTCGCTCAAATCTCGTTTCACCACTTTCTCTTTACCCTCAAAGGGTACGCCAAGACAATCGCCCAACACAACACCAGCAAGGCATGCTCGAAATTTGCTCTTAAGCACTTCATTAGGCACGTTGTACCTAGCCATCATGAATTAATAAAAAATTATCAATAAACAAAATTTAGGTGTTGAAATTAAAATGAGCAAAGGTTCATGAAGTTATGAATCTGATAACAGCATCTTTTCTGGTTTTTTCAACTTGCGTTGGGGGCAGCTATTTCCCATGTAAATAAAGGGGAAGTTACAGATACGGCGATGAGACTCAAAATCGAATACATCAGATAAAGAGAAAAATAATAACTAAATAGTTAAAAATATGGTAGTAATACAAAAATTAGGGTATCTATCACTTGTAGCTCGCACGTGTTATTGATAGCTGTGATAAGAACTATTGTTGTTCAGCTGTGTTGCCACAAGTCAACACCTTTTTTGTGGTCAGCAGCGAGTTGGCAACAGCTACATTGTGTTTATAACCTCTAAATCATTCCGGGCCCATCGCCCATGTTCCGGGCCATCCCAATATGTAAATTTTTAGTATCTTCTATCTTATTGATATGTTTCGGTTCTGCTGGCTCTACTTCAAAGTTTAATTTTTGTTTCATCGTTGAAGTATGCGCTGAGTAACATCACCGCTATCCAGTCTCCAAAATATCGCTGTGGGAAGTAGCTGAAAGGGTGGTGAAAGACACCATTAACACTGTCTCGGCTTTCCATGTAACTTGCTCCTCCTCTGCCCTTTTCTTGTGAGCAGTCAAAGTATATTCATCATTCGAAACTCCTTCGTTTCTACCATGGCTTTCGTTGCCCGTAATTTAAATCCCAACAACATCTCATGTGCAACCAATGCTATCAATGCCGGCATCTTGAAGACCATGAGCGGGACAATTCTACCATCTAGAGTAAGTTTGTAAAGCATTTTTGCTCTGTAGTTTGTTTTTCCTGTTTAAATTGAGCTACTAGTGAGTCTTGTTTCTACGTTAGTAATATTCGAATAGTTTTAAGAAGAAGTGCTGAAGGATGCAATGCCTTGCGAATGCTCCCGTGCAGCAACACTGAACCTAGTTTGTTTTCACATACTGATTCCTCGTGTGATGATGTCTGCAACACTTTGTAATTTAGCTGAGTGCTGAATTACAAAGTGTTGCAGACATCATCACACGAGGAATCAGTATGTGAAAACAAACTAGGTTCAGTGTTGCTGCACGGGAGCATTCGCAAGGCATTGCTGAGTGCTGAGTGCAACAAACATGATACCAATGGAAAACTCTGCTGCATCTAAACAGTGCCTATCTGAAGGCCAATCTCAACATTCAGTTTTCGGGAGTAGAAAGAATGATCCAATTACGAAGATCGTTAATTGAAACATGTTTCACTCTTCCTTCTAATTCAAGAGCAGATTGATCATTAGTTCCTTGCACAAGCTGAGGTAGAAATCAAATCCATTGTCGACAAGTTTTGAACACTGTTGGGTAGGTGGGGGTAAAAGGCCGCATGGGGAAAAAGGCGGCACCCGACTTTTTCCCTGAAAATTTTTTAGGTTGGCACCAGGACCGTGTCAGTTATGTTGGTAGTGGTGGCGCTGTTGTATTGGCGAAGTTTCGGACCGAATGGACGTGTTCCCTTCAAAATATGAGGAGAGTTAATTTTTCGTGAAAAAAAATCGATTTTTCCAGTTTTATTTTGGTCAATTTCAAGTTCTCTAATTGATAGAAAAACTCGGACGAGCGGCAGAACACCACTTCATGAGTTATATTGCCGATTATTTTAAGAAATGTACTGTAGAATTGACTGACGCCTTCAGTAGAAAAAGTGTCTCAAATTCATTTTTTCTCCATCTGCAATGTCTGAATATGAGATATAAATCTGTGAACTGCAGTCAAAAGTGTGACATATAGATCATCAAAACTTTGTTTCATACCCAGTTCTCTCTTAAGCATGGATACATATTATTCAGTTTTAAACTTGTTCATGTGTTTTATTTATTTCTAGAACACTTTCGTACTCCGCAGAAAAAATCCGGCTCCACCAGGCAGAATTAATGGCAACAAACGAGAATGGTTTAAGCTTAAAGCAATATACAAAGAATATATTTTAGTAGAAGACACGCAAACTAAACGTCTCGCAGATAAGCAGTTCGTTTTGAAAACCTTCGTTGAAGGTAAAAAGACTCTTCAAATTTCTACCCAGCAACAAATATAGACCTTCTATTGGCACTGGCGGTAACCCTCACTTTCGAGGTTTTAACTTTTTCTGCAACATTCATCTGGCCCCTTTTTTGGTCATTGAGCTTTAGGTTAAGTATTGTGTCCAAAAATTGAACCAAACCATGGCTCTTCTGTCATAAAATATTGCTTGAAAATTAATAAGAAAAGTTTCATTGTGGAAGTGTACTTGCCCGATACCTTTTAATTCCCCTGCTCATTTTATGTTTTTGTACAGTTGTACATACTCATAGATCTCAGAAGATCAATGAGCATGAGTGAAGTTTTTGGGTGTTCACATGTAAACATGTAATAGGATAATTTAGACGGAATTGAACATAGTTGACTATCAAAATCAGGTGAGTCTGTTTCCAAACAGTCTCGAACAGTTTACTTCAACTGGGCATCTAGGTAACATAATTTTAAAGGTTCAGTGGTGTAGCTTCGAAAATAAAAAAGTCAATCTTTGCCAAGAAGCGATGAAGGGTCTTTATTTGTTGTTGTTTCTATCAGTTCTTTATTGAGCATATTGTTGCAACTGTGATTATTAAATTTTTCATCCAAAACAACTGTTAATTGACTTTATATTCATGAAAATCTCCAACAGAAAAAAGTCCATTTATTTCCTTTTTTCTCGGGTACATTTATACTTGTAACTATAAAAATATTTTGTATAGTACATTTGTTACTGTTCAGTAGTTTACTTGTTTTAGTAACGGTATGGTGCTGAAATTAGTCCCACCCTGAATTTTTGTAACTCCAGAGTTTTTCGACAGCAGGAGTCTCTATCTAAATAATTTAATAAAAATTATCGGTTTTAACTGGTCACTGAATTGCTTTCATGAGATATTGTGCTGTAAATGTTGGTTTGAAAGCTGAAGAGTCATTTTTATGAGTTTTTTTTTCAAGGATGTTTTTGAACCAGCGCTAGGGAGTATTAGAGTGATCTTAAGGTTGATTGACCTCTCTTATACTTTGACAAATTGCAGCGCATTATTGTTTTGCACTCTGATCTATAACCATCACTATTCCAACAAGAACGTAAAAAATGGCCATTTTAGTCCTTCAGCACCTCATTTGTTGCGATGTCTCTCTGAAGGGTTTCAGTGATCGAAACCTGTAATTATTATTAAATGTTGACCTTCTACAGTCGTATAACCCTAAGTTATAAAAATTCAGGGTGAGTTTGATATCAGCTTTTAACCACACTTCTCCTTTTTGTTTTATCATATATTTGTAAGTAATATCACTAGGTATCACTGTCTACCCACTTCCCACTAACCTGTGAGAAGAGCTGCAGCATTCTCATTCCGAAAAATTTATCTACCCTTAAGCTGCCATCACTTTGCCGTCAAATCAATTACATGACTTGTAAGGAGAAACTGGTATGAAAAGTTTCTTCATACTTACCTAGTTTTATGTGTAAATTATTGACATCAACAAGGAATCTTCAGTGTGTTTTTCGTTGAATAAAAGCAAGAAAGATCATCATCAAAGTCAGAAACGAATCTTAGAATTATTACAGAGGAAACTTTGCATGCTTCGATGATCCAATGTATTTCAAATGAACACCTCTAATAATGCTTATCTGTTATCATTAGATGTAGGACAGAAAGGTGACATTATTTGGATGCATCCTCTGAGAGCCTATGAACGATTGGTTCTGCCTGGCTTAGCTGACTTTGGAACTCCAGAAAATATTGCAGAAGCCTTAAAATACAAGAAAACAGAAGAAGACATCAAATATAGTACTATAACTGCTCCAGAGGTAAAATAACTTGCATTTAATAAAAATTTTCTTCATCTGATCACACAAGTGCCCTAAAGTCATTTTTATATCATACTTAGGGAATCATAAAATACGTAATGTGAAAAATCGGATTTTTTACCACCCCTCCTTGAAAGGCACCTGTAACACAGGCAGGTGAATAATCTCCACAAAAAATTCACTGAATGTTCAGCTCCATCCCCCTCTCCTCAAGTAAGCATTTTCTAATGAATGTCAGATGATAAATTGCCATCTTATGTTGAATTTTCATCTTAGATTTTCGAAAATCTGGCACTACTTGCCCAGACTAGCTTTATGTAGAGGAATTTTGAACGCCCCCTCACCTCTGAAATATTTGCGTAATGTAGACTTAAACCTCGTACCTCTTAACGCGCTGCATATTTTATGAACAGCACCTCATGGCACAAATAGGCTTTAAGCACAGTGAAATTTTGATGATTTTAAAACTATGGGACTTTAAAACATCTCAATCAAAGAGATTTTTTATGTAGTCCAGTCCTTTGAATCAAGTCAGTCTACCGAAAGAAATAATTCAAATCCCAAAAATTGTGTAAAATTAAAATTTGTTCTTGCTGCAACCAATTAGTGTTACCTTTTAAAGGAAGTGGATTTTGTGTCTGGCTGTAACTCATTATTTTTGGGAACTTCCAGAATTCCTGTCTTCCTTTTGAAACCAAGTTAATTATATCTTTCACTTTATTGTACCTTCAAAAATTTCACCTTTTTGACCCCCGTTTTATTCCTTATTTCATCTCATTTTGAAAAAGTTAAATTTATAAAGAAAACATGTGCCTGAGCAACATACGGTAGAATTTCAATTGACGAGGTGATGAAAGTGGGAGGTTTTTTTCTCTTTTGAGACATCCTCGAAAAACTGAAATTTTCTCCTGTACCGTAAAGAGTTTTGATCTATCAAGGGTTAATTGTGGGTAATTTTTACCATTTAATTACCATCCTTGTATTCTTTCAGGTAAAGAGAATTCTTGAGGTTCACACAATTTTGAAAGTCACAATGAACAAAGAAACTCCCTGGACGATGGAACCCTGGCATATACGAGTGGCTTGCCGACAAGCCAACATAATGTTGGGTAGTAATGATTGTGTTCAATTTCCAAGAAAAATTGAAGGCCCCAATTTAGACTGGGAGGCAAAGGAATTCTATGTCATCATAAAGGTAAGTCAGTCTCTTATTATTGTCGGCAATTTCGCTTTATTTCAAAAATTAGTTTCAAAATCATCTATAATTTTAGTATATTTTCACAACACCTGTCTTTAACTTTTTTGCCTAAAAAACACTCTCGAAACTTCTCATCGAACATGAAGAATTGATTAGGTGCCTACCAACCTAAAGTGTATTCTCTAGTTGTGCTTCAGACGAATTGTGAACATTCAGTGTAGCACATTTCTCTGTCCCTCACTCTCCTTTCCACTAAGTAGAATGCGATATCTCAGTCCACTGTTTGTAGTAGCACATATAAACTATTGAAAGATCTGTTCGTTGTTCTGCGTACCCACCGCCCAGTCAATTTATAGTTCCGTCAAGCCGAATGAGCCCTTCGGACTGAGACATATTGATGAATAATGGAGAAGTCAAGACCACTTTCCGAAACATGAAAGCTGAAAATACTGTATGGTTTATTGCATCAGTCCTTATAATTTCTGTGGTTCAGTTTTGACAGTTGACTGATTTGAAAAATGGATACTGGAACAGTCTCCTCTGATTATCTACTGTGAGGCAGTGCTAGCAGTAAGTATGTAGCTACAGCAGGCCGATTAGTAAGAATTTTAAGTAGCCCGATAAGACATCGAAATGCGATATTTTGCATGGTAAAGATACTTAGGGCTATGTCTTGTCTTGTCGCGCTGACATAGTTTCAATAATCGGCCCGCAGGTCTCCTGAGACATGGTGAATGCTGCCATAGTAGGGAAGAATGCTGTATGAAGCATGACATTAATATAAAGATAGTAGAGTTTGATGTCTATTGCAAGGACATATTTACAGCCTATTGAGGTACTGCATCCTCTCCTCAGTGACCCGATTATCAAAACTATGTTGGCCTTGATAAGACAAGACATAGCAATATACTGCATTTCTAGGCCTTATTGTGCTGCTAACAACAGTCTATTTTCAGGCTGCAGGATTTACAAAATTTAAGTTCTCTTGTGTCTAATTACGACAAAAATTGTTTAGTCCGCATGCTTTTCACTTCAGCACGGCAAAACGGGAGAATCACCTATCCAAGCTGGAGCTTATTTTAGCTTTATGTCTCCTGTCACTCTTAATTGAGTTATTTTAGAAGATCAAATTCTCTTCTTCTTACAGATAAACAATTTCGAGGAAGCAAAATTGAGATGTCGATTACACCACTGGAGTACATCTCCATTCGATAGACTACCTTGGGAGAGTGATTTTTGGGATAAAAGAGCAGAACCTATCTTCCCGGAGGATGCCGAATTGTTATCCAAAATGCCTCTTCCGCCGCCCAAAAGGGTGGTCAAGGATGATTGGGCTTAAGAAAGTTCTAAATGGTATAGTTTTGTGAAAACACTCATTTTTGTTACTTGCTTTATTTGTTTATTTTTACGATTGTAATATAAAATATGTCCTAAGTCAACAGCAGTAATTTTTATTCATGCCATTTGAAATCTTTCGTTTTTAACGATAACCTTTCCTATTTTCAATATCCTTTTGGAGTTTTGCCTTGAGACTTTAATCTGTTCAATACTATTGAACAAGAAACACAAGGGAACCACAGTTCCAGAGAATGTCTATAATTTCGTTGGTGAATGACTAAATCCTCAGACCAGGAAGTATATAGAAAAACGGTAGGAGTAGAATTATGGTGTTCTGAGACAATTGTGTTCTAAGTTTTAAAATGGTGCCAGTCGGAGGTTCGAATTGTTGGGCACTTAATTTTCGCATTCAACAATGCGAGCATAAAGCCTGAATTCATAAACGTGAGTAATCTGAGAAACGTAAAGAACTAGGATTTTCCTTCATTTTTGCGTAATACCACATTACATACCGTACTTACTCCTGACTTCTGGCCCTTTCTTTCACAAGATTTCCTAGCGTAATTTGTTTGGATGTCTCCGACAGATGTTTTTTCATCATCTCTCGTACCTCTACAGGCCCGCCACAAGGGGGGGGGATACTGAGTCCCTGGTACCGGGTCCCGGAGGGGGCCCGTGAAAAACCCCTCCGAATTCGCATGCAACGCTTGTTTCGTAAAAAAAAGTGAAAAATTTACCCTAAAAATTTCGCAAAAGGTGAATAGGTTTTCAGAAACACGCTGGGGCACTGTAGAATTCTTCTTAAATTTTCAAAGAAGTATACTTCTTGGAAAATTTCTATCTATTTTCAAGATTTTCAGTACAGAGGGATATTTTTAGTAACTGCGTTTCATTTTCTTCCGTCGTCAGATGCTAAGAGTCTCCAGTCTGGGCATCCTCGACTTCAATGGCTCATGGCTCAACTCCCTTGCCATAGACAAACGAAGGGGGAGTCGAGGAGGGCCTGGCCCTCCTAGAACTGAAAATAGTATTACATGCCCCCCCCCCCAAAAAAAA